GAGCTGGTGAGCGTGACAGTGTGTAGGTCCGGAGAGGGAAAGGGAGGGGATCCTCTGTCCTCAGACACGTGGGGTTTGACATCACCAGCATCTTCATCACTGTCATCGTGGGCAGCAGCAGAATCGGTGTCATTCTTTATTCACCTTCGCAGAACCTGCTTGGGTTTTAGTTTCCCCTCCTGGGAGCATTAGTCTGCTCAGGCTGCTGTCACAAAATATCAGACTGAGCGGCTTAAGCCACAGGCATTCATTCACGTAGCTCTGGAGGGTGGAAGTCTGAGATCAAGGTTCTGGACAATCCTGTTCCAGGTGAGGGCCTTCTTCCTGGCTTGCAGTTGCCACCTTCTCACCGTGTCCTCATGGGGTGAAACACGAACAATGTCTCTTCCTCTTCTTGTGAAGGCACCGATCCTATGACCTCATCAACCCTAATTACCTCCCAAAGACTCCGTGTCCAAATACCATCACACTGGGGATTAGGGCTCCAACATCTGAGCTTTGAGGGACACCTTGCAGTCCATCACTGGAGACTGTTATGGGTGTGGGGCGGGCAAGGCTTCCAAACAGCATAAGCCAGCAGTAAGATGCCACCGACACTCGCTCCGTCCACTCCGAGTGGGCTGGCATGGAAGCTGGCTCTGGACACCGAGCTGATTCTCTACCTCTTTCTGCTGACTGGCCTCAAGAATGGAATGCAAAGGGGGAGCTGTGAACAGTGAAGGAAAGAGGCCAGAGCGGGGCTGCCTCGCAGGTCCCAACCAGGAAGGGAACCAGTGGAAATACTCTCATCCAACTGGATCAACACCTGTGGTTGTTGGGCTACTGAAAAACGTATGTTTTCTAAGGCAGGGAACCGACGTACGTACAGTAAATGTTTTATTTCAACTTGCAACAGTGAAATGTGCACCCATTCCCCAATCTTTGGATGTTGGGCCAAGGCTTTTTCTTCAACTAAGAGATGAGTTCAGCACAGTCTTCCTTAAATCCGTTACATGGCTTTCAGGTTTTGCTTTTTTTTTTTTTTTTAATGTTTATTTTTGAAGGAGAGAGACAGAACGTGAGCGGGAGAGCGGCAGAGACAGAGGGAGGCACAGAATCCGAAGCAGGCTCCGGGCTCTGAGCTGTCAGCACAGAGCCTGACATGGAGCTCGAACTCACAATCTGTGAGACCATGACCTGAGTGGAGTCAGTCGCACAACAGTCTGAGCCACCCAGGCGCCCCTTCTTTTGCTTTTTTTAAGTACAGCAAGAACTTGAAGGTGTTTGCAAAACAATATGAGCACAGCAGACTCCTAGATTTTTTAGAATTTTCCGCCAAGCTTTAAAAGTTGTCCCATCTATCCTCAATTCAATATCACCCTTCCTCTAGTCTTTCCAAAGAATTCATCTCAGTTCTTACAAGGTTTTGGGCACATTTTCATCTCATTTAAGTAAATATATAATTGCAGTAAAATGTCCCACTGGCATAAACAGGTCTGGGAACACACACAGCAGGTCCTTGTTAAGTGTACAACTCAACCCTCGACCATTGGGAGCAGACGTGCCATCTGCCAGATGTGATCGTTGGGAGGCTGCGGGCATCTGGCAGGTGTTTACAGAGTCAGTCAGTCAATCCATGAGGTCCGTCAGGGGGGCGTCTGTTATATGTGAGCCTTGGAGCGGCAAGGATTCCCCTACAAATCACACTGACGCTTTCCCTGGACGGCTTGGCTGTAGCACTGAGGACAAGAAGCAGAGACCATGAGCAACAAGGAGGAGGGAGAAGATCCTGTCACTGCACTACCCGCGTTGGTGCTACCTCACCTACATTCTCTGAGTGGGGCCTTCTCCAATAGCACACGCCTTACTCAACGCCAAAAAATGTTGAGGGTCTTCTGTCCGGGGCCACCTCTGACAGTCAGGTGGGAATCACAAAATTATTTTGTTTGGTCCTCACAACATCCTGGAGAGGTGCGACGTGTTATCCACACTTATGGATAAGGAAACCGAAGCTTCGAGTTTGCTCAAAGTCAGACCACTGTTCGGTGGTGAGGCAGGCGCGTGGTACCACTGCTCTGTGAAAGGCCATGCCGCAGAGAAGGGCTCGGGTCTGAGCACAGAAAGGAAAGCGTAATTTTTAAATGCTCCAGACGCTACGTAGAAGCTGTTGGCTGGGGGCAGATTATCGTGGAATCAAGCGTCCTCCCCCGAATGCGGGCCCGAGTGACGGTGCTAGTGTTAACTTGCTGAAACACACGCTGGCTGGAGTTCACTTACACGGAGAGGGGTGGCCAAGAGGCCAAGAGTAGATGGCTCCCAGGCTGTGTAGGGCGAAGTGAGGCTGGGAGAGGCAGACTGGGAAATCATCTCCAGAGACACGGTACCAGGAAGGCGAGCGGATGACCCAGTGGCTGTGCATGGAGCGGAGAGAGGGAAAGGGTACCTTTGGGCTCTCAGAGACGTGGAGGGGGTGCCGCCCGAGGCCACGGAATCCAGTAGAGAGACAGAGAATAGCCCCACAGAGACAACCATGCTCCAGCAAAGGGTAGGTGAGTGTACCTCCTGTCCCTGGTAGATCAAGAACATTCAGGCTTGGTCTCGAGATGTTTGCTGAAAGTCATCAGTGAGTACTTCCAAGGAGTTTGTTCAGCATTCATGCTGCACTATTTGTCGAGCACTGCTCTGTGCGGGACACGGTGGGAGTAGGAGGGAGTCTGTGACCCGAAGGAGTCCACACTCAGGGAAGCAGCGGGTAGTCTCCAGGCTCCCCCACCCTTCACTGCTCAGCTGCCCCTTGACAGCAGGGGTGCAAAGCATTGTGGGAACATCAGTGTGGGGGGCCCACGGAGGGGAGGGCTTCCTGGAGGAAAGGCATTCACACCCCGGCCTGAAAGTTGAATAGAACTCAGCCAATTGAAAGAGAACTTTTAGAAAAGGAATTGCTGCTACAGCACAGATGCACCTTGAAGACATTCAGCTGAGTGAAATCAGCCAGACCCAGGAGGACGAAGACTGTACGACTGCCCTTACATGAGGGACTGAGAGGAGTCAGATTCATAGGGACAGAGAGTAGGACGGTGGGTGCAGGGGCTGGGGGAAGAGGGGAGTACAGAGCTGTTGTCTAATGGGGATCGAGTTTCCATTTTACAAGATGCAAGAGCTCCAGTCATGGGTGGTGGTGAACGGGCTTAATGCCACCCAACTGTCCTGCAGTTAACGAAGGCTAAGATGGTCAATTGTGTGTTATGCGTGTCTTACCGCAATTAAAAGTGAAAGGCAGGGTGGAGGGAGGGAGGGAGGAGCATGAGGCAAGGCCCCAGGGCAAGAGAGAAAGGTGGAGGAGTTCTGGGAGTGTGAGAAGCTCCATGTGCTGGCACAGAGTCTGGGGGGAGGTGACCGTGGCAAGGACTTGACCACGGAAGGAAGGATTTTGAGGGGCGGAAGTAGAAGGCTTTCCAAGGTGTTTCAGATTCAGCAGGAGGGAGAAGAGCTGGTGATAGAGGGTCAAATCGAAGGGTAGAGCATGCGCACGTTTTTGCTAATGGAAGCGGTGCCGTGATGGGAAGGACCACCGTGCCGAAGCGGGGGCTTCCGGTTAAGCGGGAGGCAGCAGGTGCCTGAGGAATCCGCACGCTCATCTGGTCCTTCTCCTGCACGCTGCCGCTGGAGCGGAACCAGCCTTCCCGGAGAACGCCTGAGCTGGGGTGGCCCGGCATCTACCAGACCCTCGGGTGCCACCAGGTCGCCTGCACATCGGCTGTCCTGTCGGGGAGAAGCCAGACTTGCCTATTATCGGCTCGGATTTGTTGAATTTAAATTGTCCCGCACAGGAAAAAGAAGGAAGCGAAGCCGCCCAGAAGGAGCACTGATCACATGGCAGTTTCCGTGTCTGGGCTCTGAAGAGACCAGAGTGCTCTTTTTTTGGCAAATTCTTCTTCCCCAGTTAATCCAGTTGACTGACTCAGAGTAAGCTTTGCCCGACGGGGCCCAAGAAGAACAAAACAAGAAATGATGTCTGCCAATGTGGGCTTCCTCCCAAAACAATTAGAGCTTGAAGTGAAGCCCACGGGTCAGATTCGAGGTTTTTCTTCCTCGGAAGCCTCGATTTCACTGAGTGCAGACAGCACAGAGCCGATGGGCTGCAGCTCCGTCACGACCCAGGTGTCCCCGACACCTCCTGCCCCCAGGTGGGGTGGGACCATGGAGAGGAAAGGGACGCTGTTGGTAAAAAAAAAATAACTAACAATTTTGAAAGTCTGTTTTGTGCCAGGCAAGCCTCGGTTAAGACTTCGGACGTATTATCTCCTTTATTCCTAATAACACCCCTATGGATTATCCCATTTCACCAACAAGGAAAGTGAGGTTCTGGGAGTTTAAATGACCGGCTGATGGTTATCAGTTAAGTAAATGGCGCAAGAAAATTCAGAGGCCACAAGTTCTAACCAACAACGCAGACTCCTCAGGGTAGAGAAAAACAAGTTTCAGGAATAATATCAGAAGGCCAATTGCCGGGTCCTTTCCAAGCGTGGCTCTAAGGCAGCCATTTGAAAGCTCTCAACCCCCTCAGAGATCCCAACAGCGGTAGAGAAAGAATAATGATGCCACTACCAGTTACAGAGCACTTGCTATGCTGATCTCTTCATGGGCATCATTTAACCTTGAAGCAGCCTAGGGAATATGCATCCCTCCTGGCTCCCCATTAGGCAATCCAAGCTTAGGCAAAATGAGAAATGTGTTGGTTTGTAGAACCATGGGAAACATTATGACCAAGAACTTAAAAACCCCATCAGGGCTAATGTCCCATCCTTGTCCCTGTGATATTGTCTGTTCTCTCTCTGTCTGTCTGTCTCTCTCTCTGCAGACCAGTTCTGTCCATGGTGCAGGAAACATGGCCACAACAGTCTCTGGGTTTAATTTGTAGCCTGAACCCCACAGGGAGACTGACGTCCGGTTCTCTTGGGGTTCAAAGTCTCACATCCCTAGCAAAGGGACTTGCTGACATATCTTGAGTCAGCACTTACCTTGGCTCAGACCGAGTGAGGGCCGCAGCCTGGTTCCTTTAAAAATGGCTGGTCTCGTAGAGCCACAGTGATGCCAAGGACTGTTCCCTGGAGAAGAGGAGGGTGCTGAGCAGACAAACAATCCTCTCCGTGTCTCCAAAAGCTAGACAATTGATTGCCACTGCCTCAGACTAGCAAACTATGCCTATCTGCCTGCCTTTCCCCCACCTTCCCTCTCTCCTTCCCTCCTTCCTTCCCTTCTTCCTGACGTGGATTTAAATCCCGAGTTTTCTCCTTCCTACTGAACCCAGGCTCCAGAGGCACAGAGAGGACCCACTCTCAGTTTTATCATCAGCTTGCGGATGGGCCAGAGTATATTACTACTTATCCCTTAAGCCTGAATATCTTCACCTGCTACAAAGGGCAGGGGGAGCTGTGTGCACCCCCACCCCCGGATTTTGCCCTTCCGTGTTGGAATCTTTGAGCCTCCTGAGCAACCAACCCACCTTGGCCGGACCCCTTTCCCCATCCTGCTTTATGTAAACCTTCAAACACTGGATCTCTCCCCATTTTAATGAAGTACTCATTTTTAATCCTTTATTTTTGGACCATAACATTTCGAGTTTAATCCTCAGGGTTCTAGCCTGCCTACTTGGTACTATTTTAAATTGAGAGCTCTGCATTAATGCTGTTTTGCTGAGGGCAGTGTTCCCTCCATTAACTAATCCCTTGAGGAAATAATGCCATTATATGAAGTCAGCGGCGTTCAAAACAAAACCCTATCTTATAAATCATGTCAAGCGGGGTTCCAGATACCTCCAGGTGCAACTTCCAGTGGGTCTGGACTTGTTGGGAGAAAATGGGGCAAAGCAGTGGAAAACATCTGCCTTTTTTTTCTGACCCGGTTCTTCTTTCCCCCCTTCCCACTCTTCCTACCTCTGCAGCCAGAATCCTGCTTTCTCACCTGTCCACTGGCGGTCACAACGGGAGCGGAGATAAGCCAGCCATTACCCACCGGTCCTTGCGGACGTAAGTTTGGGAAATGCTGGATTCATGATTGTTAAGCAGATTTGTTTACCTCTGACCCCACATCAAGCCGATCACCTCCAAAAGGCAGCACCTCCCACCACCCCCGCAGGGCAGCCAGGGCTTCAGCCTATGGATGTGGGAGTGTTACCAACACTCAGTCCATAACAGAGATGCGACTTGCTCAGGATAATAAGCAAGAAGGTGGCAAGAGCCAGGTCTGGGACCGATGATGTCTCTAGATTCCTACATCTGTCCTCTTCCCTTTGTAAGTAAAGGACAGCGTGAGGCATCGTGGACCAGCAGGTGGGGTGGGCAGCTGGTGGGAAGGATGAGACTCGATACGATCCGAGATGTTGATGATGCCTGGCATCTGAGCAGGAGCCCCGGGGGATCCAACTTCGGCCCGCCGGTAATCCCCCCTTCTGGTGAGATCCCAGAGGGAGACCCACAACAGGGAATAAAGGAAGATGGAAACAAGGGCCATTTTATTGCTAGCTGAGACGACTGGTTTTAGCTGAGACGACTGGTTTTAGCCAAGACGACTGATTTTAGCCAAGACGACTGGTGGTCCTTCAGACGGACTCTTCCAGGAAGCAGAGCTGGGATTATGACAGGCTCAGAGCCTGAGCGGTCTTCCCTTCTCCTGCCCAAGTCTTACCACCAGGTTTCAGGGAGCTGAGGACTCTGGACTGAGGGACCCACCGTGAGTGTGAAGCCCAGCCAGGACCCCAGTCTCTAAGCAGCGGTATTCGAATAGCGGCACTGTCTTCTCTCCTCTGTTTGGGACAACTCAGCATAGCACTGCTTGGCTGAGCCTGGGAGCACAATCTGTCTGTCTTCTCAGGATGCTCTGGGAGAAGGTAGGGGACCATCAAAGAGGAACCGGGGTCTTTTCTCCACTCCAGGCGCTCACTCAGGGGAGGCCAGCTATAGCTCCTAGATACTTGGCCAGATGCCCGTGAGATTCAGGCCGGGGACAGGAATATTCCTCCAAACCCTGGAAGCCACTCTGTCCTACCTGAATCCTGACTACTCCCAGGTCCCTCCCTGAGGCCAGCCTCTACCCTCCATCCCTCAAACCACCTCTTGCCCTTTCTGCTCAGATTAAACCTGGGCCTGCCCTCCCCTTCCCGTCAGTTCCAGGATCCCAAAGAGAATATTCTATAGTTTAGATGCTAGTCTGAAATAATTTGTCTGGCTCAACGTATCACGCCTTCCCGTACCTCCCATCCCGAAACACACTTTCCAGTCTCCCCTTTCATTTCTGCCTCCTGTTGTGGTGACTCTCACGAAGAAAGATGTCATTTGCGGACATCCTTATGACCATCGGAGGTATTTCGAAAGGCTTACAAATTTTAATTACCGGCTTCATATTCCTACACAACAACAAAGCAGGCACGTTTCATCTGGGAGATTTCTCTCTGGTGTAACACAGACAGGAAAATATTGCAAGAAAGACATAGGCAATATTTTTTCTCATCCACCGTGGGGCACGGTAGTGGGCTGAATGATGGCCACCCAGAGCTAGCAAGTTCTAATCCCCAGAGCCTGTGGATGTGACCTTATTGGGAAGTGGGTCTTTGCAGATGTGATTAAACTCGGTATCACGAGAGGAGGAGATGACCCCAGATTATTAGGGTGGGCCCGAAATGCCATCACAAGTGTCCTTGAAAAGAGGTACAAGAGATCAAGGGACACATGGGAAAAGACGATGTGAAAAAGGGAGAGAGATGTGGCCACAAGCCAATGGACCCCTGGAGCCACCAGAAGCTGGGAGAGGAAAGGAGGGATCTTCCCCCCCACCCAGAGCCCTCGGAGGGAGGGGGCGCCCACCCCCAGCCTGATTTCAGACTGCTGGCTTCCGGGCCAGTGAGAGGGGAGCAACAGATGGGGGACACTGAGTGCCACAGAGCCACCAGCAGAGAGGAGGCCCGAAAGATCACTCGACTTAGCCCCAGCAAGTTCACTAGTGATTTCTGAGAGCAGAGCGGTTGTAGCAAATGTAAGGAAACGACGGACATTGCGTTTGCAGAACATTCTCCCACACGTAAACTTAGGAAAGTGAGCAGTAAACTGGAACCCTAAATTACCTCTAGTGACTGTAGGCATCCCACGGAGAGCCTGCAGGCAGAGGTCCAGCGGTGAGCGTCCCGTGGATCAAAGGAAGTTGGGTTTCTCCTTGTTCCACCCATGTCAGCCTTAATATACGTATCTTTTGTCCCACTGAGGACACAGGCCCTGGAAATCAGAAGCACCTGTTTCAGCCACGAGCATGAAAACCAGCACGAATCCCGAGCATCCTGGGTGCTCCCTTCTGTCCATCTGGTGTCTCCCGGTCCTTGCCCCCTTGCCTCCACCTGTTTCCTACTTGGGACCTTCCTGAATCTCAACTGCAGCCGAGCATTGACTCTTTTCCCTTTCACGTGCTATCCAGAGTTTTAGCCAAGAGTGGATTTCAAACCCCATTCCTCACAGAAACTGTAAAGCTGTATGACACAAAGACCTCTTCGGAATAACAGGGTTGGAAGTGGAAATCCACACGTGGCCAGTCCTGGCTTTGCTTTGTTTCATAGTGTCAGGGGGAGGGCACGTGCGGGGCGGGGGCTGCCACCGGCCCCCGGAAACGAGCCTACAAAGGGGTCTGTTGGGCCACTGAGAACAACCCCAAGCTGAAGCCCACACAGATCACGTTCCTGACAGGGCTCCTCATTTCTTACATAAGCTAATAAATCTTCACTTGCTTTTCAAAGGAGAGGTCAGGGGTGCCTGGGTGGCTCAGTCGGTTAAATGGCCGACTTTGGCTCAGGTCATGATCTCAAGGTCCGTGAGTTTGAGCCCCGCATCCGGCTCTGGGCTGACGGCTCAGAGCCTGGAGCCTGCTTCGGATTCTGTGTCTCCCTCGCTCTCTGCCCCTCCCCGGCTCATGCTCTGTCTGTCTCTCTCTCTCTCTCTAAGAATAAATAAACATTAAAAAGAGAGGTCAGGATGTCATAGCCAGTTTGGGCAACCGAGGAGAGGAGTCTGAGGCTCTTCTCCTCATGTCCCTCAGCTCTCCTCACGCCCCCCTCAGGTCCCCTCGTGCCCCCCTCAGTTCCCCCCACACCCCCCTCAGCTCTCCTGAGGAGTCTGAGGCTCTTCTCCTCATGTCCCTCAGCTCTCCTCACGC